AAAACGGAAGTATCACTGATTATAGAATTGCGTCTGCAGAACAATTATTAATCTTGGGAAGTTCTTGCCATACGGAAGGCCGAAGTGAGGAGGCTATCAAAAGCTACGAAGAAGCAGTTCAAATTGCGGATGAAATAGATCACAATGACATCAAAGCAAAAGCTTATCAAGGCTTGGGAAACGTATTTACTGGAACTTCTGAGTATAAGAAAGCAATCGAAAATTATCAGAAAGCGCGTAAAATATCTTCACGCCTTGAGGGAGATGAGATGGAAGTAATAGCATATCAATGGGTAGGTTACAACCACCTGCAAACTGGCCAGTACAAAGAATCCATAGTGTACTACAAAGAAGTGGTAAAACTTGCTTCACAACTTGGAGACAAAAAGAGGTCGCTTATACTTAACGCTTACCTACGATTAGGAAATGCATTTAGGTGTACTGATGATTTTGAGTTCTCGCGAAAGTATTTCTCGAAAGCTCTAACAGTAGCAGAAGAAATGAATGACAAAGCTCTCCAAAAGGAAGCATATAGAAACTTAGGACATGTATACTGCCACAGTTGTATGTTTGATGCTGCTGTCAAATCGTATCTAAAAGTTCAAGAAATTTCTTATGATCTTGGTGAGAGAAAAGAAGAAGCCAGCGCCTGTCTCATGCTCGGTGACACCTTTCGAGAATTAAAGCAACACGAGAAAGCCATTAAATCTTACCAAACGACTTTAAATATCAGTGGAGAATTGCAGGATAAAGAAATTCAAGTAGTCGCAATTCAGAGATTAGGAAAATTATATTTAACTTTGGCTTCAATTTGCAGTAAAGATTGTGATTATGAGAAGGCCATAAAATGGTACGAAAAGGCATTGAATATTTTTGGAAAAGAGCCCATTGATTACCTCTTGCAGGAGATGGCCCTTACTGGTTTGGGAGTTGCCTACTTTAATCTTGGAGATACAGAAAAAGCGATGGAGTCAATTCACCAAGCCCAGAAGTTTGCTAAGAATACCGACACAGGTAGTTATTTATTATAAATTGCTATAAAATTGCGGTTGCCATAGAGTATTTTAATAAAACACAAAACAATAGACACTCCGAAAATTGTAAATATTATTTTTTAATTCTTTACGTTTCGACTATAATTTAAGTCATCTTCAGAAGAATGCCACCTATTTCGAAAAGCCAACTATTTATAAGCTAGATGCTTGCGCGTTCAAAGTTTGATAGAATAATAATTGTCCGTTAGTCATTAAACTAACGGACAATTGTTAATTCTTTCGACGCACGCGCACCATGGTTCAATTAATGCTGGATTACAACGATGGATATGAAAAGCTTCTTTAAATAACAATAATGACCAACCGTTAGATCGATCAATTACTTTACAATTACTATAAATTAAGTCTACCAAACTTTTGAGAATAATTACAATCTAGTAAATTAGCTGGAAAATTTAACAAAGTACGAATAAACTGAAATTCATCACAATTATGTACATTATTAAAAATTTCAGACTTAGCGTATTCCTTGATGTGTGTGTAGAGACATCTGTCCGTCTTGCTAATATAGGAAGAACAACCAGGGCACGAGAAATTGTACACAACACAATTCTTGTAAGGTTTTGGGATAGGATCTTTTTGAGATGTAAAAGTGCTAGCATTAACAGTTTGCCAGTTGGTGACGAACTTGACTGCAGGTTTCTTTATAAGTCGCGAGATCTTACGTGTGCTGTTTCGTACGAGACTACAACCTTTCTTCAAAGAAAGCTAGCATCTGGCTTATAAATAGTTGGCTTTTCGAAATACGTGGCATTCTTCTGAACATGACTTAAATTATAGTCGAAACGTAAAGAATTAGAAATGTTTGCAATTGCTATATTCTGTGAAAACAAAACGTGCATTTTTTTCCAAAACTTGGCATCCAAGAGCCCGAATCGCCAAGAATGTAAATAATACGAGTCTTGGTTTCAGAATTTTGAGATTGATATTCAAGATCGACGAGCATGATTTGGATTTATATTACAGCAATAGTTTTTCCTACATAGTGTATAATATATAATTATTTAAATTGTAAATTATTTTGGAATATTTGTTCCATATGTAGATTCTCACAACGTTGAAACTACGGATGAGCACATAAATTTTACAGAGCAGAAAGCATCGTACTCACCAGTACCAGGTAAAAACGAATACTGCTATATTTTATTATTATCTTAATTGTTATTGTTGAATCAGTGCCTTTTTAAGGAATTTTCGCTGGAGGGGGTGGGGGGGGGGGGCAGGAAAAAAGGCAGAACGAAAAATATGAGGCCGTCGAGGTTTGGCGAACGCACGAGACTGAAGAGAGATTTTGTAAAACTTTAATTTATTAACTTCAGATATATTTTACTTTAAACAATAACTTCAACTCTTTGTAGCTATAATCGTACAGCTATAACCAGTGGCGTAGCCAAACCTTAATTTTGCGGGGGGGGACCTCGCCGAAGGCGTGAGACCGTCTAGGAGGGTCCGGGGTCCGGAAAATTTTGAAATCTAGGGTCCCTAATCTAGCAGAATTCTGAAGATTATAAAGTACATCGAACACATGAATTTTTCCAGACATTTCCACTCGGAATTAAATAAATTGGAAAAGTCACCTTGAAAAATAAGAGGAGGGGTCAGTGTCACCTTATTTCCTCTCTGTGATGCTGGGAGGGGGGATCCCAATGTGATTTTGATCAGAAATGTTGCATTGAAATTATTTTAGGTTCTATGAGACACCATTTCCGCATTCTCAAAATTGCGTTGCTTTTTCATACGATACAGACTAAGTCTGAGAAGAAATATTCATGCTATGATGATGCATGTATTTAACAGTTAAAAATCTAAACTAAATTTATTCTTCTTGGAAGCATATCTACAACTGCTTTAACGAGATTTCACAAATCAACTTCCTCCAGTAGGCTATATCGTCTTTTTCCTCAGTCGAGACGTACTTAATCAGTTTCAGCTTCGAGCATGTAACGTAATTTCCAGAATGGTTTTTGTGGCGATTGGAGGGGGGCTCTTAATATAACTAAAACGTTTTGCAATAAAACCTGCCAAAACAAAACACAACGCCTCTGCGGAGGAGAGTGCTAGGAAATAGTTGCAAGGCTTGGAAAGGTTGGCATTTTATCGGATCGTTTGCATGAAATCTATCGCTATTATGAAATACTCGGTGAAGAACAATATGAATTACACACAAGATGGCTATGGAGGAGGCTATGGAAGGGCATAATCTCATTATTAAGTGAATCAACTGCAATTCTGACAGCAATCATGGTCAATTCTGCTTAGCACTTCGGGGGCAGAAATGGCTTTACTGGGGGCAAATTCTTTCCCTGGGGGGGGGGGGCAATCCCCCCCCCAGATATATAGTTAAAAAAGGCACTGTCTTGAGTGATTTTAATTGTTAACAATTATTGGATGAGGTTTTTGTAATATGCGGAAATATATTTTGTTCAATGAAATGTTAGTTTTGAAATAGTCTATTTCTTTTCTCTAAATTATCTCAAAAGATTACAGTACGCATGCTCAAGAAAGTTCGCCAGGACTAAAAACTTCGTCGTCGCAAGTACAAGGTAAGTTATAGATAGATATATAGGACATTACATTTATATAAAAGAGAACATTAGCTATATTACGATTATATTACTTAAATTTGAAATCAAGAAAAGATGTAAATTGTTTAAATTCATTCTGGTGTGTACGGAAGCAATTATATAATAAGTATTTAAAACAGTTAATGGAGCTAGCAGAACGGAAACTTAAAGGTAATTTGTTTCAGAGGCCTATAGCGGTTATAGAGAAAGTTCTTCCTGCTTCTGTAGCTCTATTGTATTTCGGAGTTACTAAACTTAAATCAGCACTGCGAGTGTTCCTCGAATGTTGTTGGCTATTCAAATTTAATAGTCTGTTTAAGTAAAGTACTCCAGCATTAATAGTACGCATGTAGATCATAACACATTTTCTGATATCTGACTCTACATAAAAAGGTAGCCAACCAATATTATTAAATAGCTTAATCGAGAAGTGGCGTGGTTCAGCGTCAAGGATAATTCTGGCACAGCGTTTTTGAAGCTTGAATATTAAATATATTTTTTGAAGCTTGAATAATGATATTTATATCCAATTATCAATATTTTCAAATTAATATATTCAGATGGGATTGAAGACAAAGAGTCAGAAAATGTTGTCACATTTGAAGAGAAAGAGCCAGTAATTATAGGTAACACGTCTAATAAATTAAAATAAGAAGATAAATCATTAATGAATAAAAATTACATCGTTTATGAAACATTAATGAAAAAGGTGTCTCAGTAGATAACTGTTTGTTTTATTATTGGGATGAAATTCCACATTTATGTTTACATTCCACATTTATGTTTACTAACGGCAATTCCTAATTTTTTTACCAAATGATTCGAATCTTTTGAACAACACAAGAGGTCGACGTCAAATAAATAATTATATTTTAAAACTTATTAATGAGGTATTAAACATTTTAAAAACATTTTTCCTATTATTTGAGTCTCTCACTGACGGGAGTGAAATTTCAGTCAGAATTATCGAATTAAATTTAATTAAAATTAAAGTTGGATTTTTTTATTAAGCATATATATACCATTACTAACAACTTGAAAATCTCAAAAACAAAAAGCGATAAAAATGAAGAATAACCACGTGTTACGATGATGTAAAATTAGAAAGACTTTTCATTTTTTCAGGCGGTCGTGAGCGGGCAGAAGTATTGATGGAAGAAGCGTGCAACTCGAGCAGGACAGAACGATTACGTATGGAAGACTTGGTTCTTATTGGAAACCACATCGAAATTTCAGCTTCATACGTGTATAGTCGCCAAATATCAACTAAAGAACCTTTCACTGAAAAAGTTCGTAAAGCCATGACAGAAGATGTTAAAAAATTAGCTTATACAAACTTGTTGGGTGCGAACGATCAAGAACCTGGTAGAAATGATGGGGAATTTGTCAGTAAGGATCAACAAATTTTCAACTTTGCAAGAAGTGAAGTATTTAAAAATGCTTCGACTCAAAAGCCTGCAAGACTAAATGTACATTTGGTCTCGTACATGAAATCCATTGGTCAAATTGCATGTGGCAAAATTCGAGGGACATGTTTCCTTGTGACGGATGCGCTGGTGATAACGAACTGTCATGTTTACAGGATGATTAATGATGAACGAACTGAACTTGGAAATCCCAACTTGCCCATCACTGTTCGGTTCGATTATTTGTACCCTGAACAAAAAGAACATAACACTGTAGAAGTTGATGAAGCAAAGGATACCACGCTTGAGAATCCATTGTTGGATTACAAATTATTTCGTTTAAAGCAAAGCGAAGGTCTTACAGATCGTGTTCCTCTTGGTCCGATGGTCAGAAATTGGCAACTATCAGATGGTCGAGTTGTTATTCTTGGTCACCCGGAAGGTAAGGAAATGCAGGAGGAAGTCTGTGTTGTTGTCGGCTGCAATGCACGGCTTGACACAATGAATAAAAGACATAAACAGTGTAGTGGCGTACACATGACCAATTTACAATTGATGTGCAACGATATAATATATCAAGATTTTCTGCCATACGACACTAGTTTTTTCTCTGGTGCTAGTGGTTCTCCTGTTTTTGAAATGAATGGCAACATCGTCGCCATGCACACGCAAGGATATCACGTAGAAAAGAACGGACGAAATACTCCCGATCAACAGGAAAATAACCAGAATGAAGAGCAAGAAAATATTCCAAATCAGGAGCAAGAATATGTTCTGGATCAAGAGCAAGAAAATATTTCGAATCAAGAGCAAGAAAATATTTGCAGAAGAGGAAATTTACAACAATATGCATTGATGGAGTTTGGTGTCCAGTTTATCTCAATCTGCAGAGACTTGAGACGATATCATGGTGAAAATGTTGTTAAACAAATTTTTCCAAATTATGAATTAAAACCTGGCGAAGAACCAATGGATGCAATCTAGTTTTACTACAATCATATGACACTTAGATCAACTGGTAATTTTTGTAAATAAATGTGCACCTCGACATGTGCTTATTTGCTGGGGGAATTATCGACAGCACGATGGAGCAGAAAACCATCGCAGATAAAACATCATTACACGTAGTCTCACAACATTGAATGGGGTGGGGGTTAGATTAACATAATTTCAGCCTAATCGCTGCACGTATTTTTTCACCGATGTATGATACACAAAAGAACGAGCACTATTGAACTGTTCAAACTAAGTTCTAATGCGTGTTTAACACACTAAATACTGCATTATTAATCATAAATTAGTTTAAGTTTAACATTATGCGCAAAATAAAAAACAAAAACGTAAGATGGAAAATTCTCGATGTAGATCTATTTTTGGGCGATCTGTATTTTTGGATGTAAAACAACATCTAAGGGGTATCAATTGACCATTTGCGTAATAGACTAAATCTAGACAAAAATTTCATCACAGCTTGAAAGAGCATCACAAAATTAGTAATATTCCAAAGTTTGTTGCGAAATGTTGTAAAATGCCTTGAAGGGTATTGAGCTGTCAATTTCCCGTTTTTACTCTAAAATGACTGAAAATTGCAAAATTCGCAAGGCTATATTTTCCGCATTTTACAACATTTCGCAACGAAAGTTTGGATTTTGGAATATTACTAATTTTGTGATGCTCTTTCAAGCTATGATGAAATTTTTGTTGAGATCAAAATTTAGTCTATTACGCAAATGGTCAATTGTTTCATGAAAGATACACAGCTACCGTAACTATGGGAATAATGACGTTTCAAGATGGCGGGTATTTTGTTTATTATGAATAATCACATTTACGTAATTTGAAAAACTGTGGCTTAACAGAATTATTTTAAAATTGTCAAAATAATTGAGTAATAAGAGAAATCATTTAATTTTTACGAAATAAAATTTGGGGGTCACCGATGTCGTTTACGAGTTAGACTACTTTAAAGTCGATATATCCGCCAGTATATCAGTTTCTATACGAAGTGTGAAAAATTTAAACTCTTTGGATGTTGTTTTACATAAGCAAGATGCCTCTTGTCTTTCAACAAGTAATACTTGTCCAAAACATACGGGTCTAAAACGTAAATTTTCTATTTAAAAAAAAAACTGTATCGAGCCACTTAAAGTGCCACCAACCCAAAATATGATTTTTTTTGTGCTTGTAGTATTGGCGTCATTCTAAAAGGAAATTTAAATGCAATATATCTTTATAAAAAAATTTTGCACCTAGTCGCTATCAAAGTTGCCAGACGTGTTGTCATTAGATAGATAGCTTTTAGCAAACAAATAAAATAAACTTTGACAGTTTCACTCTTTATTGTACGGTACCTGAGCGTTACATTATAAATAACGGGTGACAGTTTTAATTAGCTGTCCACAATGTTGAGATTTTTTCTGGTAGTTCATGTTGGGGAAACAAAATTTGACTCGTGCTGTATGGTCTACAATGCGCGAGGTTTTGCAAAACACTTCCTGTTTAGAGGGGGAAAATTAGTCTCTTATTTACAGGATATTTTCTTTTCAAAACAATGAAAATAGCATGCATGGATCCTATAGATCCTATTTCCGTAAAGCATTTACGAGTGATAGAACCGAACAGTAAAATAGTATTTTCCAAAGATGGATAGTTCGACAAAGGAAGAGAGAAACAAACATACTATTTGAGGACAAGTGATATCACTATTAACCGTGGTGATATTCAACATACCTTATTTGACCTTCTTTTCACAACTTCTACCAACCACTGTAATCCAACTGACAGAAGCAAACATATTGCCACTAAGAGAAAACAAAGATCGATACCATTAAATACAGTTAAAAGAATGACATGGTTTGGAGAAAAAATTCATTTATCGGTGTTAGCCTAGATTTAGGCGAAGATGTAATCTTTGTTCGTTACATATACGTATTGTGTTTTCACTCAATCAAGCAAATATGCAGCTATCTTTAGACAATTGATCAATTTACACATGCAAAACTAAGCCAAATAAGTGCTATTATATATAATATATAGTTGGACGAAAACGCAATACATGCACACATGACGAACAAGGATCACATTTTTGTCTAAAGTCTAAACCTAGAAAAAACACAGAAAAGAGAGAATCCTTTCAATAATCCATACCTTTCACTTTTGATCGATTCCAAAGTAGGTTGCATTTGATTTCTGAATACAGATAGCAGAATTCTCGCAATGGATGCTGATTACATTCATCTTCCTTTTTATTGCAGTCGTGTTCAGTGTATAGTTGAACAGGCCATCTTGACATATTCCATAATCACATGGTACAGAACCGTTATTCCTTATGACGTCACACCAATCAATATCTATCTCACATTAGCAAATTCGTAATCGTTGACCTAAAAGTTCGGATATATTAATGAGAACTACCAAGAATCCTTCGAAGGCTTACCAAAGGGCGCCTCTGGCTGTCACATACACGCGTAAAAATCTCACATCTTGTAGCATGTCTGCCAACAAGCCGTCAACAAGTTGTGTTCGCACTGCTTGTCCCAAGTTGTCAACAAGATTGGAACAAGCAGTTAACGACATGTAACAGCCTTGTTGATATTATCATGCAGACTTAATTGTTGCAAGGTCGCCCCCTCCGATACATTCATGATATAACAATATTGTTCCAACCTTGTGTCGTCAACCTTGTATAACATTCTTGTTATATCATGACTGTTTCAGACTTGTTAGAACAACTTTGTAACAAATGATAATGCCATCAAGCTTGTTACAAGTTGTTAACAGCTTGTTCCAAACTTATTACAATTAACAACTGGGAACAAGCAGTGCGAACACAACTTGTCGACAGCTTGTGAACAGATTTAAAAAACTCATTAATAATTCATGAAGAAAACACAAAGAAAAATCATAAGCGTGTCGTATATGTATATGTGATATAGATTCATGTTGATTGACATTAAACATTAACTTTGATTTTCTCGGCTTAGACAACGTTTATTTTTAAAATTACTTCGCCAATAAACTCATAAGATGAGTCGCTTTTTAAGCCATTTATTTCGGCTCGAGTTTGTATATCCGATACAACACGGCCGCTCATGTTGTAAAGTTTTGTAAATAATACTTGTAACAACTTGTTTGCAGACCTGTAACAACTTGTGCGTTTTTACGTGTGTATGGATGGAGCACAGCTACGTTGAAAGGATTAGTTTGGGATTCATCCAGTGAATTTTACTCGACGGAAATTTGAAGTCAATAGAAGTCAGACCAATGATAGTACGAGACGAAATCCGCAGAAAATTATTAAAATATAGTATGGCCAAAAATAATTGAAATTGTATGGGAGATCCACGGGAAACGGGATTAGTAAAATCATTTCAGAAAACGTCAATTTATCCCGAAGAAAGGATTCCAGCAAATCTAATTCGTCGGAAATTGGACGTCTAATATGGGCCTATAAAGCGAAATTTTAATCAGAAAATCCTACAGTATACAAGGCTATCTTGAAGAGTGCAGTGTCACAGAAGTGAAAATCACATGCAAAAATCATAATTGTGGCACCATGCCACCACAATGTAACTATTAAGAATTTATTTAAAACATATCAAATGCAGTCTCCTACCGGACTGTCTGTGTATTTGATTTTCATCCAAAGGATGTTTTTACTGAGACAACTCCGATCACATTTAGAAATGCATTCGTGATCTTAAACATTCTCCAACCAAAATGCATCCAGTAATACCATGCCTTAATACCAAATTGCCACGAGTGACCATACCCAATACTGTATTACAAAATCTTTGCTTGAAAACCCAGCTATTGTTAGCGAACTCAAATAGATATTGTATTAAGCTTTTCGATCCATTCCCGTGTAAAAACCACATCATATATCGTACATTCTTGACCAACGCTAACACAGATATTTCTAAAGTCTAAACTGGCATAAACCATTTTAAAGTCAACATGCTAGGCGTATAAATTCCTGGAGCGTAAGCTTAATGTCCCATACAGGCGTAAGATATAGCTCAAAGTAATCGTTGTTCGAGCCGTTTTATCGCAGTAAACTTCCCACAGCATATGTTTGAAGGGATAAGCAAAAAGGATTCGACGTGTTGAGCGATTTCGTTTCACTATTTAAGGCGTTTTGTTGAAGAATATCGAGACGGATTCCTTGACACACAGCGTGCAGCAGGAGATGTCTTATTGACTAGAAATGCAAAAGATAATTGAAACGTTTTAGTTGTTTATGCAACGAAACGGTCTTTTGCATAATTTACTCTAACAAATATGTCATCCAGGCACGACCCAAAGATCGGAATGTTTTAGTATTATCGATTTTTCATAGTTTTGATAATCAGCAAACTCATCAGCAAGCTTCAAAGCATGTTGAGATGACTTTACCGCGCACGAATCCCGTGACGTTTTTCTCAATAATGTTTCAACAGCATGGTCGAGTTATTTGACGAAATGATATCATGATGCCATTGAATGGTTGTTTCATTATGCTAATTAAACCTTCATTGTTTTCACCGGGCACATGCTGCATAAGCATAACAAAAAAACGGTCTTGAAATTGGTCTTGTAGAACCAAAGTTGTGGCTGTTTAAAGTAAGGATCATCAAACATATTGATACTCAATTAACACAACTGATGCATGGTTTCAATGGTTCATTGGGTGAACTGGACTTTGAGGCCGTTTCCACTTTCAACCGTATCGTACCGAAGAGTAGTGTATTTCTATTTCTCTGATTCCTGAGCACTAGAGTGAAACTGACTTCTGATTGGCAATTACATACAGCTATTTCAATTAAGGTTGTCCCCCGAGCAAAGCGGAAAGGTCGAATACGAGCGCGAAAGGCTGCTGGGAATCGTTAATAAATTAATGAATTAGCAATTCCCAGCAGCCTTTTGCGCTCGTATTCGACTTTTCCGCTTTGCTCGGGGGACAACCTTAATTGAAATAGCTGTATACTAATATGCGCAAACGAGACCATATATATGTGCATAAATGGTAGTGAACACAGGGTGTCCCAAAATAACCCAAAACTATTGAAGTAACATATTGTTAGAATTTGAATGCCTCAGTCTCCTTCTGAAACCAAAAGTGCATAAAAGCTTGATATAAGTAAATTTTATGCATTTAAGAAATAGAAAACGAGTCATGTGCGTTTATTGTGTGATGATGAACGCGGACAATGTTGGAAGAATACGAGAGAAGCGTGTAAAACACGAGGCGTGGCCGATATTCTTAAATATTTATTCGTCGAGAAGCGTGTTTGTATATAACAGACACATCCTCAGACATGTTTTTTTAATTAGAATTTCGATATAACTTTATGGCTCTGTATCTGCCTCGTATCCAGTCCCGGAAATGAGGATTGAAAAAAAATGGTGCGTCGTTGCAATCATGCATGTCGTATTCTGTGATAGGGGCGTCGCTAGGCTTTAATGGGGGTGGGGGTAATGTAAGCTAATTTTTGCCGACTCATGTCAACCACAAATTAATATTTTGTAGCACTTAGCACGTAGCATTTTCATTTCCTTTTGGGTTAATGTACCGTAATTCTTTCACTTTTCCTTAAAGGGGCCCTACAGTCATTTTTTAATCAAGTAAGTATTGTTTACATTTTTTTGTTATTGTCGCTACTTGACATGCGCATCACGGCATGCATGCGTCTTCCGGTGTGCGGAAGTACTCATATTCATGGATGTAAGATACAGCCAAACGAATTTCCGTGGAGTCCCCTACTTAAGGTGACTTTTCGACTAAAAAATGCCTGTAGGGCCCCTGTAAAGTTTTTGGAAATATCTTCAAAATCTGCTATAATTATTAGTTTTTAATCATTGTCACTCATATATTTTAGGTTTTTCTCTTCCTATCCAATTCTCCAATTCATGTTTCGCAGACTACGAAAACAATTTACTGACTTGGATTCATGAATTAATTTGCCGACTGCTTGACGATTCGGAGGGATGTTCCACCTTCCTCCACACCTCCCTCTAGAGAGTAGCGACGACCCTATGGCTATAAATAATACTACATCTATAATCTTAAAACCAGAACTCCTGAGAGGTTCTTACTTATGTTACAGCAAAATATTTTCGGGACAAGAAGCAGAATATTGCAGAATATTATAATAAGAAATTAATAATTTATTATAGTTTTGGAGTTTGAGGTACCCAGCTCGACCTTAGCATAGATATCTTATATACACTAGATAGTGCATCTAATTATTCTGAAATTCAAAATTGAAGCCGTGATTGCAGTCTCAGGTCGTTCCCATGAAATGAGAAGATTCGTATGTTTTCTATTTCTTAAACAGGGAACTTAAACATTAAGCTAACCCTATTCCAAATACGTTTTTAAACTATTCAAATAATGAAAGTTATTGTTGTTTTTAAGCGTTTATTAGCAAGTGGGAACGACCAACATGGCCGCCATCCATTCAAATGGGGGTAACCGCTGGAATATTCTTGGCTTCAATTTTACTACTGAAAGATGCGCTATCTAGTGCATGTATATAAGATATCTATGGACCTTAGTCAGTAGTTCAACTTTAGTCACACAGAGTGGATTAAATGCAGAGTGGATACAGAATAAAAGCTGAATAAGACAGAACAAGACAGACGCCATCGAAGAAGACGAAAGAGGAACTGAACATTATAAAAACACTGTCTTAATTTAGTCTTACTATTGTAAAGATTCCGTCTCCTTGTGCATGAATAGTATTTTTTCTATATATGACAAGTTAATCAAATTATGTGGCCTTTTATATACAGTCACCTCATAACACAGACATTTTGGAAATTCCGCTGCTTAAAAAAAGCAGAATTCCATACGCTAACAAGCTGAACGTATTTGAATAAAAATTAAAATCTCTCCCACCGAGCTTAAGAAATTGGTCGTGCTCCAAAGCATTAATAAAAGCAAGAGGATATTTTCATTCATCTTTTAACCTTTTCGAAAATCGTGACTTTTATTGTAAAGTATATGTTTGAAAAGTAATTTGATCGTCGTCAACTTATCCTACTTCTTGGTGACCTGTACAGTAAAATAGCTGGTACCTGATTGGTTTTACGTCGCTTTGTGATGATAGATAATTGATTATCCGCTCGGTAAGTGCTGCTTACTCGTAATACACTGTAAATTTCTAGCCAAGCCTGTAACATACACGGAATAGATTGGGCAGAAATTTTTATATATTATTGAATGTTGATATAATTACAAAGCAATAGGCAGCAATACCCAGGATTATCGTATCAAAAGTGAAATCTTGAGAATCTATTAAAAGGCATATAGTTATGTCGTAAGTGAAATTATTGAATTGTAGTAAGTTCCTTATAATACGTCTCTCTTAAGTTCTGTGGAAAACCTATCAGGCCTATATAGCAAAGGGATTACCGGAATGGCAATATACGTACTCAATAATACTGGCTCAATATTTAAACTTTGTTCGTTCACTGCAATCAGGTATATCAAACATGTTTGACTCGCTACTCTGGTTTAAATAAATTATTACAAAGCCCAGTCAAATTGTAATCATTTATTTAAACCAGAGTAGCGAGCGAATCATGACTGGCTCAATATATCACTATACCTAAAATTTACGAAAACTTCGGATTGATAGGGACACAACTACCTGAAAAATACAAAGAGAACTTCGATGTTTCGACCGAAGTCCCTTCGATTTGTGCTGTTAGCGTTTGTATACATCGTACTTGATCTTTACTGATAAATATAATCTCCTCAAGAATGTCTAGAATGTATACCCACCCTTAACCTGCAAACGGGCATGCTCGGGGAACGAGATTGGTACGCAAGTTGTTTTGGGAATATCACGCATGCGCACTTCTTTGCTGCGAAGAGTTGCGATGAGCTGTTTGCCGCAACACCGCGGAAAAACGTCTGCGCATGCACCAAATTATGAAAATATGGCGGGTAATTTGAATATCAATTTCTAAAACAAAAACTTGCTTATTAATTGGTCAAAAATTAGTAAAACAAACGAGAAAATATAGCAAATGGGTAGACTAGACATTAATTGAAAGCGTCCTGGCTTTTAAAGTATGGAATGAAATATAATTCATGTAAAAAATTGTTGATTTTAACTGCAAAATTATTCAAAACGAAAATTCAAACTAAAAAGTTAAGAAAACTCTCGAAAAGTTAAGCTTCTTAACTCACTCAAATTGTAGAATAAATCCTAAAGTTTAATTATTGTGAACTCGAAAATTTTTTATATTTGGCGACACAGTTTTTTTAAAGAAATGTATCTCAAACGAAAATTCGGAAATTGTCGTTGCTTAGTTGATAAACAAAATGTTTCAGACGATAAATTTGTCAACAATCACCTTTAGTTCATGTTCTTGTACAATACAATTTCTTGAACCTTCTGGCTGTATTTATTCCTAGTTTTTAGAGTGACATGTTTATTTTTACGCTCGAAATCTGGCTGTAAAGACGCACAATGAAGTCACTCCTTTTTATCGCCATTTTGAGCCTTCGGAAACGTTCGGAACAGCTTCTCATCAAGTTCGCAATACTATTACAGGTAAGGTTGACGCATGCGCAGACGTTTTTCCGCGGTGTTGTTTGCCGCACACTAGGAATTTTTGTCACGAATGACAGAAAATATCAAATGTTTGATATATTTGTTGTTCATGACACGAGTGACAATGATTTTTGTCGAACGTATAATTTGTCAGTGTGTTCCAGACTTTAATTACACAAAGAATTCCGATACACCGAGTGTCGAAACGTTGGCCCTTTAGTGCAACTCAACTGGGCGTTACATTCATTTACTTAAACCAGATTAACAACGAGCGAACACATGTGTGTGGTTTGACTCCTAAATACAAACTCATTCGGGCTGAATTTTAGAAACAGGAAAAACCAGCGGTTTATAGAGAAGTCAATTCCTTAACACTAACAAGCTGAACGTATTTGAATAGGTCTCTCTTCAATTATATTTAATCGCTCTGAGCTTTAGAAATTCAGGTCTCGCTTCGAAGAATGATGATAATTGCTAAACGATACATACAACATATTTTCATTCGTTTTTAGCCACACTTGTGCAAGTTGCACTTGCGTTTTGCGAGAAGCATTCAGTGTTTAGATTGAACCCCAAAAGGTGCAGCAATTTAGTTGACATACAGCCAAGTAAACAAGCATAAAATAGAACAAAACATTACAACCATTTCACTATTTGATAGACATTAAACGATGTAGCTACTGTTTTTGACGGTATACAAAATTGTCAGATAATTCTACAAGGTATATATGGAATTTGCATATGCAAATATGCAATGCTTTTCACAGTTAGTTCATACCTTTGCAAATTAGTATCTCCAAGTATTGAACTGGGTATAAACAAGCGTTATTCATTTGTCAAATGCGTCCGTCAATACGCCGCAAATCCATAACAAATTGACAGTATACTGCAGTAATATCAAAATCTACAAGCATCTCTGTACATTTGGTACAAAGTTTTACTTTTGGTAAAATTTCGTGAATTTTCAAGAAAATTTGGTAATAAGTTTTTTTCGTAAACTTTTGGTAAAATCTTAAAGGTTTTAATTATTAATAATCATTTTGGTAAAATGTGTGTTTCTTGTTTCATAACGTGCTCAAGGTGATGAAGCCTTAAGGTCCATACAGACCGGACGCGATTCGGCAACGCGACGCTAATTTTCAATTTTGTCTGTGTGGGCTTTTATCGTTAGCAAAAACTGCACTACCATGAAAGCAACAAGTATTTCGAGATACATTTTTGTGCGTATTTTTGTCTACACTGACGACGTAACTGTTTTTTGCATTATTATGACGTAATTAATTGGGAAGCCGACATTTGCATGGTAAAATTTTTCTTAATTTAGTAAAATTTGAAAAAAAATTTGGTAATGACTGCTGAAAAAATCTGGTCACCTGATCCTACACACGTAAAAACGCACAAGTTGTAACAGACCTGCAGCAGACTTGTAGCAATGCTGTTCCAACAACTTGTCATCAGGATGTGTTCGCACTGCTTTTTCCCAACAGCTTGCTACAAGCCTGTTGCGAACACATCTTGTTGACAAGTTGTGAGATTTTTACGTGTGTACCCCACCTGAGTGACATAGTTACACGTGGGCACCTAAAATCTGGGTGCCACGTGACCAGCTTGTGTCAGGGTTTTCGCTGCAGCGGATTTCGAGGGGTAGCGGAAGCGAAAACCCCAAGTATTAGGTTGGATTTTTATTACTCATGTCGTGAACAACAAATCTCAAACATGTTTGACATTTTCTGTCATTCGTGACAAAAATTGCTAGTGTCAATTCCTAGTGTCAATTCCTAGAGCTCATCGTAAGTTTCCGCAGTAAAGAAGTGCGCATGCGTGATATTCCCCAAAACAGCATGCGCACTTTCCTGTAAAAAGTTGCGATGAACTGTTTGGGGCACACTATATAGGAATTTTTGTCACGAATGACAGAAAATGTCAAACGACATGTTTGATATTTGTTGTTCACGACACGAGTGACAAAATAACTGAATATTTTGCCCGCACACTTGGATTTTTGTCGCACATAATGCGTCACGAATGATAAGTGTGCTGCAACTTGCACTAGTGTGCGCCTAGACTTACTCCAAGTCTCTCTTTGTGGAGACCCACTATATTGTACGTTACATGACGTACCGCTGAGGGGGAGAGGAGGAAAGAGAGACTTGTAACATCTGGCAGCAGACATACTTCCGGCTGGTCAATTTCGACCAGCCGGAAGTAGATGGCCGCATTGACTTATCGCGTGTTTAGGGGGGGAAGGCGACATCTGGACTTTCAGAGTTATTTGTTTAACATGAGTAATTTT